GCTGATATAACCTCATAGTTACACTATCGTTTTGTCAGTCAGACCCCTCAAAGGGGCATCGGGAGATAATTGTCCTTCCCTTTCACCCGCTCCATCCCTACCTCCTCTTTCTCGTGCTCCTTCATATTCTCCTTTACCTTCTCATTTTCCTTCTCCTTCTCATTCGTCCGTTCTTTCTATCTGATCAGAGCATTTTTATATTCGCTCTTCTTAAATGCATGTTCCGCCTGTCACATATTTGTTGGGTAGGAGGAGTCCTCCTCTGAGTGAAAATACTTCCTGCATTTCCTACACCAAGAGGAGTCCGCAAAGACCACTTCTATCTTCAACAGAAAAACAATCGGCAAGATTGACACGTTTATAATTTGACACAATCGTTGATTTATAGGGAACATGATTTTATGTGATTACAAACATATTAAATTATGTTTAAAAACATAGGGGAAAATATTTAAATGTTTATCAATATGTTTCAACATGTTTCAACAACTTGTCTTATTTGGTTTCTATTGTGTAAGCATTGTTCAACCGCATTTAAAAAAAAATAAAGAATATATTATTTTGTTTTCCTATTATAAAAACAATATATGTAACTTTTGATTTGGTGGTGGTGGGGGGGGGATCATGAGGTGAGAAACACACAAAATGTTTATTTTTAATTCGTGGAAGTATAGCAACATCAAAACAGGTTTAGGGTAAGAGGTTTTGTGTATGTTCATTTTTTTGACCGGTCGCTACCCTTGCTCTTTGTTGTCGTTGACCAACATTTCTTCACCATGGAAATAAATATTTGCAGTGACATTATATCAAGCCTCCTCTCCTTTAGCTCCTGTCCTCTCTAAGCGTATAGATATTTACATATCCCCCTCCCCCTCCATTATTTTTATTTTCCAACAATCACACTGACTTCAACAATGCTCTTGTAGTCAGTAGGTGCCTAACACTTTTGGCCTAACCACATTCCTTCGGCTTAAACAATAGGCACCTACCGACATCAAGAAATTTGTTGTACATAAAATGTGGTCCATCATATGTAGTTATGATTGGTGACACTTTGTTGTTTAAGTTGAACAAAATGACGTAAGTATGTTTTTTATAGATCATATGAATCATATATGATGATGATTGTTGTTTTGGACAGCTTGTCTTTGACCATCCAACACTGCACCACGCGCACCTCTGTGTTATACTTTTCCATCTTCATCCTCCTTACCCTCCCTTTACTCATTTTCTCTAACAGACTTTAGTAATATTATACAGGTAAGTAGGTCCATACATTTTGTGTCCAAACACATTGATTCAAAAAAAATATATAGGCACCTATGGACCTCAATAATTTTATCAAGTATAGGGTGTAATTCTATATATATGGTTATGATCGCTGTCACATTATTCGTAAATAAGGAGAACATCGCATACTCGACGTTAGAAGGATGCTAAGTAGGATATCGTTGCTACCCCTTATCATACTTAAACGCTTGCATTGACCCTTCCTACTCCCCCTCACACTCAATTTAGTCATATTAAATTATTTAGTAGGTTTAAAAAAAAAATTGTCTCTGTTACGATCCTAACCAATTACAAAGTGCGGATATTACAATATAATATCGTCCAATTACAAAAATAAATGAATGAACTTAAGAAGGGAGAAAAGTAAAAAAAATAAAAATAAAGAAAAAAAATAAGAAGATATATACCGGCGAAAAAACCTATGACAATTCTTCCTTCTCTTGCCGACCAACTCATCCTCATTTTTGCCCCTTCCTTATTCAAATAATAATAATAATGAATGGTTGAACCATAGTCAATATATGAATCCCGCTTCTACTAGTAGCACAACAACATGTCCATCATAGCCATGACCTCCTTCTTCTTTCACCTCTGAAAGTCAAATGACTATGATAAACTAATAAGAGTTATGCCTTGATGTTTAGAAGACAACGCAAAAACGACTATGTCCTTTCCTACCTCTAGCCATCCTCCTCTCTAGTCTCATTCTTTCTCCTCCTACCAGGCGCCTTCCACCATAGCCAAGGCGGAGTTTCTGACGTTCCTCTCCCTAACGTTCCACACAGTGTTATTTCGTTGGTCGCTTCGACATCGTGATGCCCAAACTTGCACACAAAAAACAAGGCATAAGAACTACCTCTACCTGAAGATATGAGGAGCAACCAGCCTCACGGTCGGTTGTTGGAGTGTGCCTTGTAGCCTCCAAGCCCCCGGTACCTCCTCCCTTTCTAAGAGAAACATTATTGCAGACCTAATATCTACTCTATAGACCCTAAACCTATACTACCGGACTTGTACCCCTAAAGGTACTAACTTTTTGTCTTCTTTTGCTCGACCTACCGCTACTCAAGTACTACGAGTACCGACAGTATGCTACTTGAGTCTGTCGTAAGCTACTTCTACGACCACTGGAGTGTGTTTCCCCGCTGCACGAGAGATGGTTAACGGAGACCTAAATTTTCAAATAACTTGTCATCCTATTTATAACAAACCCACGAGTTATTTTATCCAAACTTGCTAGCACTTCCTAGAGTAGAGACCAAACTCACTAATTCAAAAATAAAATAGCGAGACGAAAGTGCATTTTCATGTCAATTTCGCCAACATTCAATTTAAAAAATCTCAGTAGAGGAAATTCCAATGCTCCAAATGAGACCAGATTTGGTACACCCAAACCTTCATTCAAAACAAAAACAGAAAAAAAAAACAAAAACATAAAATTAGACCCTCGAACCATAATTTCAGTTTTTGGTCGGTTGGTCAGGACCTGAAAATGGGGGTCCCCGCTAACCATCAGTGCAGCGCAACCCTTAAAGTCATGGCCATAGGAGAGTACTGACCATGTGGGCCTTCCAAACAAATAAGTGTCCTGGCGGGTCACACATACTCTCATGCGGACAAACACTCAGAAAGGCATGCAGACCAGAAAACATGCACACAGGCTTTAAAAACTCAGCAAAAAGTAGGAATGTCAACAATGGATATATTCTAGCGGTGAAATTTACAAATCGGTTGCGTTGTCATTTCGTGTTTTTACAAGTCCTTACACCTTTAGTTATTCATTCGACCTGTAGAAGTAGGCGCTCACCAGACACAATAAGTTCAATGTAAAACAAACACTTATGGTCAATAACATGAACAAATCATTGAGTACATTTATTAGTCTGCAATAACTCATAACAAACAACCAACGATCACACAGACACAAAAGAAACATTAATAGTTGGAACTGATTTGTTTTGAAAAACTCATTACATGTGCGAATTATACCTTCCTGAAACCCTTCCTCACATACACAGTTTATGATTATTAATGAGGACGGTATAAGGGGTTAATGAATCACGTTTCACTTATGCATCATAAAACATTGCATCTCAGTTAGAGGATAACTTTTTCAAGTCGAATGGGTAACACAAATCTCATCCATATCTGTTTCTTTTCTATCTTTTGTCCATTTTCTGCACATTAATTGATATGATTCCTACATTTTAGTTTGCCCTATATTTATGGATTCCTATCCCTAAAGGTACTAATTTTTATCTTATTTTGTCCTGCCTACCGCTACCTAAGTGCTGCCTGTACCGGCAATGTGTTACTTGAGTCTGCTTTAAGCTACCCCTACGGCCACTGGAGTGTTTTTCCCCACTGCAAGAGAGATGGTCAACGAAGACCTCCATTTTCAAACAACTTGTCACATCATTTATAACAAAACCCAAAGGTTATTTTATCCAAATTTCCCAGCAATTAATAGAATGAAGACCATACTAACCTGCATAGCACGGTGAACTTGTTCTCGCCCCTTCACGTTCACGCGAACAGCTCGCGAACATGTTCGGGGGAACATCATTTTTTTCGTAAAAAAAAAATAATTATTTTTTTCGATTTTTGATTTTTAACTCATGACTGGCGATGAATTTGAACATGGCTCCAATGCAAAAGTTGCTTGTATTGTTATTTTAAATAACATATATTGTTTTCTGATTTTTCTGATAATGTGTTTTTTTTTTTGCGTTCGAAGGTTTTTTGGCGCTTGTTCGCGTTCGGGCGAACATGTTCGCGTTCGCCTCCGACTTTGCGACATTGGTGCGAAACCAAGATTTGCGACTTTGCGACTTTGCGACTTTGCGACTTTACCACCTTGTGTATGTGTCCGTTGAGTCGTGTCAAGTCTGTGGCGAGTTGAGTGAGTGTGTGTGTGTGTGTGTGCTCACTCCCTCCTTCTCTCTTCCCCGACCTCGCTGCTCCACCTCCGCCTCATCACACTGGTGCGCAGTTGGTCAGCAACTGCAGTGGCATCCCGCCTGTTAACATTAGGTGAACCCTCGTTAGGCGAAGTTCGAATGCAGGCAGGGGGTGTGGCCACACGGCTGCGTGGCTGGGAACAGGGAGCACTTTCACGGAGCGAGTGAGAAACAGACACATGACCACACAGGAAACCGGACCGGAATGCCCGCTGTCGGGGCTGGACAATGTACTGACGAAATTATTTGTGTCACGCACAGATTCCCCATCCTCGATGGCTGCCAACAGTTGTTGCAGACGCTGGACCTCCTCGTGCAGCACCACCACCTTCACTTCAACGACCTCTTCTCTCGACAATGTCATGGCCTCACGTGTGTTGGAACTCTCAACCTCCCCCTGCAATCTTTTGATCTCGTCGACCATACCGGATATGCGTGTGAAAAGCACAACCCTTTTCTTGGCCAGCTCGTGGGCCTACTCGATTAGACGTTTGTGGGTGAGGGCAAAGTCGTCGGCCATGTCCACAACCTCTTTAACATCGCGGAGAGGCATCGACGACATGATGTGGTCGCGGAGAGGCGTGGACGGCCTTCACGTTCCCTGCAACCATACCACCAGCCCACCACACACACATGCACGATGTCATTAGATGCCATTCATCACCCTCCTATGCACAACCTCCTTCAAAATGGAAAACCTTTCGAACTGCATAAAAATTGAACATATATCCAATGAAAATGAAGAAAGCAGTCTCCGGTGCATCATTGGCTGTGGATATCATCGGCGAACCCGCTGCATCAATCACATCGGACGTTCACCTCCAACAGGGTCGTGCATGCTCCTTCGTTCATTGTGTTTCCTTTTCTGCAGAACGTCCCGACAGTGATCCGGACAACATTGTGAAACATTGGAGGAGCGTGGTATTACCCTGTGCGAAGGTGTTGTTGATGACATCCATGGCATTCGCAAAACTACCTGCCATTTTATCGGCCTGTCTGTCATTGGATTCCACCAATGCATGTGCAACATCAGCGAAGGTCCCCCCCATGTTCCCTTCCGCTGATGACTGAGATCTGTTGCGGCGAGCGCCTCCACCCCCCACCTCCGTACGTGCACTCTTCGACCCTTCAGCTGCGTCGCTCCCCTCACGCCTTCGTGGAGCAAGGCTGCCGCTCCCACCACCTGTGTCATCATTGTCTGTCACAGCACTCAGCCCTCCTTCATTATATTGAACGAAACTCATAACCCCTTCACAAGACCACTCTGCCTTCCGCAATTTCCACTACAGAGCATCAAACAACTGTTTGTCAAACAACACAGGCAACCCCTCCTTCTTTTTGGACACCCGATCCATGTTCCAATAGATCCATTCACTGGATCTCAAGTGAAAGTCACTGATCCTCTTCTCGTTGTCGAGCAGGCTGTAGAACTTGCATTCACACTCTTCAACGTTGCGGGGCTTGAAACCTTTCTCCACGAGCTTCAAAATGATCCACCCGTACTTCTCCTTCCTCGTGCGCATTTTCTGTCTTCCTTTCCTCTTTTGTTGCAGAGCGTCTTCCTCGAATAGAGAGCGAAGCAGCCGCACGCTCTCGTTAGTGCTCCAATCAGGAGAGCGGGGCTTTCCTTTTGCTGCAGGTTCTCCATCACCACCCCCTCCACCTGGCAGTGAACGGGCCTTTCCTTTTGCTGTAGGTTCACCATCACTACCCCCTCCACCTGCAGGTATACGCCTCGGGCTGCCATCATTGTTGGAAACATCAGACCGCCCCTTCACATTAAACTCCCCATCCGAACCGGCACTGGAGCACCCTTCGTATTGGGTGCCGACAATATCCGACACACCACCCATCCACGCATCCCCCACGTTGCAATCTGCATTCCCATAAGCTCCTTCAGAACCTCCAAGTGATGGTGGACCCACGTCCTTGCCGCCCAAGTTTCTCGAAGGTTGAAACCGCGATGTGGGCTGCATGTCCGATCCACTATTGCCGCACTGCAACATAGACGAGTACGGTCCCAGTCCATGCTCAACGCCCACCGACCCTTGGGCAAGCGACGGTTCTGGTTCGACCGCCATGGACAGCGCTCCCTTGCTTCCCCCCACCCCGACAATTTGTGGTTGTTGACGTTGCCCATCCACACCTGCAGTCGGGGCACTCCATCCTACACAGTTCTGTCCATCATGCGGCATTCCCCATCGGTTACTCCCCGGAACAGTAGACGCTCGTGGAGAAAAGCACCTCATACCGCCTTGTCCGCCTTCCACCTGGCCGCTCCACGTCAACCCCCCCGGAGTCGATGGCGGTCACGTACTCCCAGAAAAAGCGGACGCTCGCGGAGAAAAGCACGTCACACCGCCTTGCCCGCCTTCCACCTGGCTGCTCCATGTCGACCCCCTCGGGGTCGATGGCGGGAACGTGGGCGCCTTGAAGTTCTTCCATTTCGACAATGGAGGCAACGGGTACGGGAACTGAACCGCGTGGCTCGCCCCTGTTGCCGCTGCGCCGAATGCAGTCGTGTCATCGTTCACTGATCCTTGGTGGTGATGAAAAACGCGGATCTTCGACACGTGGCAGGCGTTAAAAAAAAAAACAAAGCTAATGGGGAAGAATCCATGTTTCAACCTTTCACGTGCAGCAGACAGTCGACACGGGTGACGACTGGCACTAGAGAGAAGGAGAAAGAGAGAGAGAGAGAGAGAGAGAGAGAGAGAGAGAGAGAGAGAGAGAGAGAGAGATCGTCGAACCTTTGACATATGGCAGGAGTGAAAAAAAAAAAAAAAAGCGAACGGAGAGAGAGAGAGCTCGTCGAACCTTCGACACGTGGTAGGCGTGTAAAAAAAAAAAAAAGCGAACAGAGTGGAATCCATATTTCAACCTTTCATGTGCGGCAGACAGTCGACACAGGCGACGACTGGCACTAGAGAGGACGAGAGAGAGAGAGAGAGAGAGAGAGAGAGAGAGAGAGAGAGAGAGAGAGAGAGAGAGAGAGAGAGAGAGATCCCTCCGCTGTACCTTGTGGGCGAAGATGGACCTTCAACGCCAGTTACCAGGACCACGTCCAGATAGATGACACGTGGCGTCGCAGTTGAGTCTATGCGATGGTGTGACGACGTGGATGGCGTCCGCTGGTGGAAACAAAGGGTTTCGACGACCACGCTGTGGTCATGGACGTGTCGAAGTAGCAACGTCGATATGTCGTAGGAGGTCTGAAGCTGTAGGTGTATCCAACTGGGGGAGGGACCGTTTGTAGTACACGTCCGTACGGGGGGCGAGGGGGCGGCTGGTAGTCCTGAGGCAGGCCGAAGGGCAATTCCTCGACGCGACAGCGGCGGCACAGTACCGTTTTTCTCACGGGACTGGTCGCACATTGCCAAAGGGCCGAGTTCCGGACACCCACGGGGGCCTGCCGTGCCACACAGCGAACCGAACCACGGACAAACCAGCCCACCGAAACGGACACATAGAATTTAAAAAAAAACAAAAACAAAAATCCCCCTTCTTTTTCGCGTCAGGGTACGAATCGAGCTCTCTTGCATTGGCTTGTATCCCACAATCCTTAGTAGGGGTACTTTCGTGAAAAAAAAAGAAACCCCACTCGTTTCCGTGGTGAGCGAACAGATAAAATAATTCGGCTATCGTGGCTGGTTTCGTGAAAGAATTTCACTTCCGGGTTAATAACCACCGTAACGTAGTCATCCCCAGTAACTACCGAATTGGGAGCCAAATCTTTTGGAAAAGTACCCTCCGCATAACATTTTGAGATCATCCCCCTAATTCTGTTATTTTCCTCGTCCGACATAGTCGGACTTGGTTCGTGTCCGCTCACTGGGACAGAAAAAGAAATAAACACGAAGCAGCTATTAAACCCTACGGTCTTAACTTCAGTATCTTAATATAGAGGCATCCATAAATAGGGGCTCGTTCGACACTCCTGGGGCGCATAAAGTCCCCGAGGAATTGTTCGTTCCAAATATCCTCGGGGATGCAGTCGACAAAAAAAAAGTGAAAACACTCCGAAGGAAATTCCTTGGGCTCCGAGGATTCCCCAGCCATTTCTTCCCTTTGCCCAAGGGACCTCACCAGGTCCCTTGCGCAAAAGGAATCCGGGTTTCACGGAGAGGAGCGGGCACATGGGTAGAGAGACGTTACAACAAAGAATCTGGATCGTGGCGGCACCCTGTTGGCTGAAGGCTTAAAACACATTTGATTTTTTTTTATTTTTTTTTTTCTTGTCAGACATCGTTCGAAGGAAATGTCCTCGGGTGACGTCCCCGAGGACAGGTGGAACGATGGCGGGAATTTCCTTGAAAACCCCCAAGGAAACTTCCTTCGGCCCCGAGGACGCCCCAAGGAGTGTCGAACGAGCCCCTGTGGCATAAGTGTAAGTCAAACCCTCCCCTTCTCCCTCCCAAGGTTCAACGTCAACGGGGAGTATACCTACCCACCGCTCGTGAAGACGAGGCTTGACTTAACCTGTCACTTGAAGAGGTTGACGAGAGTTCACTTTTTCCTTTACCGTTGTCTTTTGTATTTGTTACCGTTGTCGGCAGCCGACCTGGCTAGGCCGCTGCCTTGGCCGCCCTGTATCTCACGGTTGGCTCACACCATATCCATTATGATGAAGGCAGACCTGCTCGCATAAGTCCTCGACGTTGCCGAAGACGAAGGCAACGGGGCACATACCACTTTTTTTTCTTTTTTTTTTTTAACATCCTTATGTATTCCGAACTGAGCAAACAGAGGCCGCGGACCTCACAATTCAACCCGGAGTTATCCCGGCAGCATCAGCCAATTTCGCTTACAGCCTCAGGCTGAAACTTCTTACCAAAACAACACTTTTGACCCAATTTACGCGAATGTCGAGTTTGTGATAAGCTCAGACCCGTACCGCGCGACTTCTCGTATCCCTGAGGAAGAATCCCCCGGAAGCCCCGAGGCACGGATGCGGACAAACAGGGTTTTTCTTTCTTTTTGGCTTTGTTTCCTTTTTGAAACGGCTTTTTCATTTTTGGTTAATAACTCCCGCGCGGGCGAATAGCGGCCGCGGTATGAAAACCAAGAAACGGTTTCGGTGGGGACTTTTTGAATTTTTGCGCGCGTGCGCGCCTAAGCTCCGACTTCTTCGCGCGTCTCGCACCCCCGGTTCTTGCTTTGCATCCCCGCGCCATCTTCCCTTCTTGCTGCGCGCACTTCCCCCATGCAGGACTCTTCGTCTTCCCCTCCCCCCCCAGCTCGATCCTTACTCCGCGAAGTGATTGGCCTCGAAGTTGGGACGCTCGGATCAATATGGAGAGCGGGAAACCGCGCACCACTTGAACGGACACCCCAATCACGTAGGACCATGCCATCCCGCGGGTCGAACCCTCTAACTCCCCACCTTCCTCCTGTCCCGCTCATCTACAACCTGCGCTGCCTGCACCTCGCGCTGACAACCCGCCGCCTCCCGCGCTATAAATTCGCGCAACCCTCTCCTCTCTCTCTCTTTGATCTCGGTTGTAATGCTGCGCGAGCTATGCAGGAAAGTCCGCGGCGCCGAACAGGCTCGACGAGCCCAAGGACGGGCGGAGTGACGACGTGGGGTGGACCCGCGGTAGTCTCGGGGCGAGTCAGTCGGAGGGACTGAGCAGTGGTGGGGATTGGGCGCCGGCCGCGGCAAGGCCTTGTGGCTATGGTGGTCGGTGGTCTTGGGAGGTTTTAAAGGCTGCGCCTGGGGGTGGCAGTTAATTGAGAATTTTTGTGTATAMGAAGGACTCGCTTTTATCTCCATTGCTGCTTTGTCTATGCATGACGTGTGACGTGTGTGTGAAGCCCGGAGTGATGGGAGCTGGTTGTGCGCATGAGTGATGTCGAAGGTCTATGGATGATTGGATGTCCTGTCAAGCGTTGTTGATTGCATGCATGTATGTGTGTATGTACTTATCCGGGCGGGGACGGGAGAACTGAACTGGAGGACCGTCTGCCTAGGAGTATGAGTGTGTTGATCCTGTTGTTCCCTTCCCCTCCGCGGCCTTTCCTGCGCGCACGCGCAGTCTCGGTGTAACTCATTCTCTCTCTCCATCGCCTTTCTTTTTAAACTGATAGTCATCGCTTTTGGAACTTCTCTTCCGTGCACCGGTGACGTCAACCGCCTGCGTCCGCGCGCGAGGTCGACGCCCCCGCAAGGGGAAGGGAGCTTAGATTTCGTCATCTTCTTCCGACGAACCCACCTTGAGAGAGAAGAGTTGCGTCGAGTGTTGTATGGAGTCGGTGTTGGTTCGGATGACCGGGAGCGCGGGATTTTGTCCGTGTTCATCGCTCACCTGCGATCGTCTCATCTCGCTACCGACCTTCCCCATTGCAGATGACAACAGCGTCTACTGCGATGCGGATATACGGCGCGCGCTGAGACGGACGGAGCAAGTGTGTTGGCGAGACCCGCCCCAGGCGTGTAATATAGGGGGGAACGGGTTTCTCTTGATTGATTGCTTTGATTCCCCGAATCTAATATTGCCTTATACGGGTTCGACGGTGTTGCCCTGGTCGGCCGCTCACGCCGCGTGGCGGCCGCAGTTTGATTGTCGCTGGTGTCGCCAGGGAGACTCGTGTTCTTGGCGACGCTTGGTCCTGGGTTACGAGGGAGCGACACGTTTCCCCGAGCTCTCCCGTAATGCGGGGGCGCTACCCGCGCAATTTCGAATCCGGATGCCAGCGAGTCCTCCCGCCGTTTCACCCTCTCGGAAACTTCCGCGCGGACTTGGCAAGTCCGACGCCGAGGCTTGAAGGCCTCGAACCAACCACTTCTACAACAAAAACCCGACGGTCCGGTCACATCACGAGGCCAATGACGAGGCCTGAAGGCTTCGAACCCACTACCCATCCCTCAAGCCGATGACGGTCGGAGTTTCTATCTTCCGCCGCCATGGCCCTCTCCCCTTGATGCCTTTTTCCGTCCTGATGCACGACGGCAATTCGTTTTTGTGGAAACCCTGCTGATTTTATCGTTTCGGAGTGATCCGACCCCCACGGGACTTCGCGGCGACAGTTCGACTCCGGGGTAACCTCTGGCACGAAACGAGAGCCTCCTGTTCCGTTAGGGAGACTCAACCCCTACGGCCAAAAATCCTCGGCCACGCCCCTCCTAGAACTCTGATCGGCGACCCAGTACAGGACGTTGCGAGGGGGCGTGAGGTTGGTATCAAAGCTGATTCGTTTCGGCTCCGAGGTTTTCCTAGGACAATTACCCTGTTTAAGAGTTTTTCCCTTTTTGATCTTTTTAGTAGATTTTTCGCATTTTTGAGTAGGCTGGCTCCCCGTCGACGGCGGCCCGCGAATAGCAATCAGAACTGAACGAGAGGCCGGGCTCGAGGTCCGCCTCCCGCGATGGTTGAACCCGGAATTGGGGGTGGAAACGACGACGATAACCACACGGGGATGGCCAATCATCCCTTGTATTTTGTACCTCCTCCCTCCGAGGTTCCCATTTTTTCCGAAGATGATACTGACCCTCGCACCTGGCTAGCTGCCTTGAAAGCCCAGGGCCGGTCGGGCCAGTTGCTCCGAGAACGAATTCCCGGAAGGTTAGCCACAACCGCTTTTGAGTGGTATGGACATAACCCTTTCACCAATTGGTTAGCCTTCCAGAGGAAATTTCTCGACAGATTTGATCACATCGCACCAGGTCAATGCCTCCGTCTAATAAAGGAATATACGCAGCAGCCTCGGGAAGCCTTGGTTAGATATGCTGAACGCTTTACGTACCTAGCTGAACGCTCCGGGGTGGACGAGAAAATAGTACAGACTGACTTCGTTAGAGGATTGTCAGATTTTTGCCTGCGGAAAAAGATCTGCAAGAAATGCACCCCTATTGAACATACCCTGATGGAGCTAATTCAGTACGCAATTAAGTACGAGAAAGAAAATTACGATGTGGGCCTGGACTCAGAATGCGAGGAAGACGACCCTTCGGGCGTTCAACGCAATAACTACTCCACTACAGCACGAATGTTCGAAGATCGCTTCGGGCTGGGTCCGACAAAAAAAGGCTCAGATCGGAAAGCTTTTTCCTCTGCTTCGACCTCCCGTTGCTCTAGTCAAGCACAAGGAGGCCGGGGCGAGGAAGAAGTGTCTATGAAAGAAGTCGCGGCCCAATTAGTTACGATAGTGGCCCCATTGACGAAGTTTGTTCAGGGCCTGCAGCGGCAACGCATAGCCGCCGCACAACGACAACAAGCGGCTGTGGCCGTCGGGGCCCCTATGATAAGATCGGCCGTGGCCGGGGCTGTCCCGCCCCTACGCTGTTATAACTGTAATCAGCCAGGCCACCTTGCAAAAGATTGTCCGAAACCTTGAACTCAGGGTGGGCCTGCTGGGCCCACAGGACCTTCCCAAATCCCGCTGGCTGCTCCAACTGCTGTAGGACAGGGGAGGGTAGCCATGATAATGGACACAGGAACGACGGAGATGGTGATCCCTGCGGCCACTGAGATAGGACCCGATGAATATATGGCGGCAGCGATGTTCAAACCCGGGACCATCGGAGTCATACGTCACGTCCAATGGATTACCGAGGAAAGCGACCTTGGGCCGTGGCGACCAGGGTTCGAAGATCTTGCGGCAACTGGTCATGAATACAAGGATGGCCATATCGACGTATTGGATGCCTTGAAGGCTCTGGATCTAAGGATCCCCGTCCCTATTTCCTATCTGCTAACCATTTCCGAAGCGGCTAACGAAAAATTGATCAAACGATGCCTCAAAAACAGGCGCCGATTCGAGGAAAGTCGAAAGGGCAAAAAACCGGTCCTACGAGACCCACCCACAAACGAGGAGTCACGACCCTCGACCTCAGGGGTGCACGAAGCCAACCGGATAGGAATGATCCAGACCGTAGATTCCGCCTCGGAAAAACCCGAGGTATTCCTCCGGGCCTATCCTATAACCTGGAAAAGCGTTGAGTGTGACTGCGAGGTCTGGGGAATCCCCTCGGCCGCCATCCTAGACTCGGGATTGTCAGCGGTCGCCATTTCTTGGAGATTGACGAAAAAATAGGGAAGGGAAGGACAGGTTCAGCCCCTCCGACCGGATGAAGTGTATATATCCGCTACGGAAGACAGTATTCATTGTAAAGGGCGAATAACGAACGTGCCTATACGGGTGGGGCGGGTGCATTGTTTGTGCGACGCAATCGTGCTGGATGTATAGGCGTATGATGTTCTGCTAGGCATTCCGTGGCAGGAGGTGGTCGGAGCGCAAATGCACTTTGACAGCTGTAAGGTGGTGCTCACATCGACCCACCCCGAACCACAAACGATACCAATGAGATTGGCGGTGCGTATGCGTACCCGGCCGGCGCCTCGAATCACCACAAAAGCCCACCAAATCAACGTGATCCGACGCCTGTCGCCAAGCGAAAATGAAACCTCGTTGGGAACTGACGAGACTGACATTCCCGACCGATATCCGATCCGGGTTCAGGATCGGTGGCGCCATTCCTGGCGACGAGAACCCCTGGAAATAGTTCGGAGTGAGTCCAATTGGTCGCACACATTCTCATTCGTGGTGCAGGGAGAACCCCTGCTGAGGGTGTCCCGAATAGCTGACCTTTCGGAACCCCCTGCATCCTTATATCTCAGGACGGACCCCCTAGCTCAAAGATTTACCGAGCTTAGGGGGCTGTGCGATTTATCTTATGACCCCTACGGGCCCTACTCACAAATGAAAGAGGGGGTGTCGTTTCAACCCCGAACCAGGGAATATCGGTGGGGACCGAGGGAACTGACGCAGGCCTTTTCGGTAGAACCCTCGGCCGAACCCGAACTGGACAGTAACAGTAACATGGAAAGCGAGCCAATGAGTCCGGCGGACAGTCAACTTATTGCGACTGTCCTTTCGGCGAAAACCGACAACTCTTTGTTTGGGGCCTCGCCCGATGCCAGCGCGGCGGTCCCCATGGTTATGATGACGGTCTCCCTTTCTGGGGGAACCATAGAAGTTCAGTTACCAGCCCGTGTTTCGGATGAATACAGACGCCTCCTCCTGGCGGTTATACGGGCCTATCCTTAGGCCGTCAGTGTTCAGGACCACGACATAGGGCTAACCCCTTTGATACAGCATGCAATTGATACCGGGGATCACGCCCCGATACATTGCCGACCGTACCGATATTCCCTTAGAGCAAGACAGCTAGCGTTGGAAAGGGTACGGGAATTCGAGCGGTTGGGGTGGGTCGAACCATCACTGGGACCGTGGTCTTTTCCCGTGGTCCTCGTGCCAAAACGAAATGGTTCGGTCCGGGTATGTATCGACTACCGAAAATTGAACGATATCACTACCAAAGATGTGTATCCCTTGCCGCGAATCGACAATTTATTAGGTGCTATCGGGTCTGCTCGAGTCTTTTCCAAGTTCGATATCCGACACGGTTTTCACCATGTCGCAGTCCGACCGGAAGACCGACCCAAAACCGCTTTTGTCCTATATGAGGGCACGTGGCAATGGGTCCAGTGTCCCATGGGAATTTGTAACACCCCTGCAACGTTCGAGCGGGCCATGAATATGGCCTTCGCTGAGTTCGTTAACAAAACCCGACTAACCCAGCTCCTGATCAATTTCTGCGTGATTGTGTACATGGATGATATTTTGGTCTTTTCAAAAACACGTGGGTACCACGTGGAACATATTGAGTGGGTTTTGCATGCACTAAAAGATGCGGGGTTCAAAGTGGCCTTGGAGAAAAGCGAGTTCTTCTTGTCGGAGATCTCACTCTTGGGGTACATCGTCACGGTCGATGGACTAAAACCGGATCCGAGGAAGGTGGCAGCAGTTCAAGAAGCCCCGGCGCCGGTCACACTCACCCAGGTTCGGGCTTTTCTAGGGCTGGCACCCTATTACCGACGCTTCATCACGGGGTTCGCCGGTGTAGCGAAGCCCCTAACGAACCTGCTGAAGAAAGAGGAGCAGCTGATCTGGACGCTGGAATCTGAAGCGGCGTTTCAGGCGTTGAAGGAGGCTCTGACATCTGCTCCTGTGTTGGAGCGTCTCGACCCGACAAGACCGTTCGCACTGTACACCGACTGGCAGTCGCAGGCGATATCGGCGGTGCTGACTCAGCACGGGGCGGACGGAACGGAACACGTCATTGAGTATGCATCCAAGACGCTGAGCCAGGCGCAGGCTAATTACGAAGCGTGCAAAGGCGAATGTCTGGCGGTGGTGTGGGGGATTCAGCATTTCCGACCGTATCTTTACGGCCAGAAATTCGTGTTGGTAACGGGTCATCAGCCGTTGCTGTCCCTACGCAACAACGCGGACTACACGGGGACGCTGGGAAGGTGGGCGGTGCGTCTGCAGGACTATGACTTCGACATCCGTCATCGTGCCACGCGGCAGCATGACAACGCCGATGGATTGACGCGCCTCCTGCCGCCCAACAAGAGTCCCGCCAACGAGCGACTCATTCCGTGGAGGCCAGAAGCCGCGGCGACGAAACCGCGCTACGGGGAGCTACACGTGCTGTGCAAGGACGACACCTGAGTCCGGAATGAAGGTTTCGACGGAGATGGCGGACGCTATCTCTTTGCCCTCATCCAACTCCCTCGCTCTCTCGTCTAGTCCCTACTCGTCCCCTAAAACACATCTAAGTCCCTGTTTCTTCTGTACCTTGCCTATGGTCCCGGACCAAGAAGGGTCACATCCGGGAGGGCCCAGTTTTTTTTTGTTGGTGCAGTGTAGTCAGTGTCAAGCGGTCAAATCTCACGGACAATGCGTTAGGTACCGAAGTGAAAAGACGTGGGTCTGTCCCAACTGCAGAACGGACCAGGTCCCTACCGAGAAACGGTATCTGGACGCACAAACCGCCGACGGATTCGCGCCACGTGCCCGTCGGGCAGAAGTCTGGACGGACCTTCTGTTGCTACAGAGGCTGACAGGCGACTCGCTGTCAGAACTTACCAAAGCCGAGCGGCGGAGAGTCACGGTGCGGGCGCAAGACTATCGCTGGCAGGGACCGACGTTACAAAAACGAAAAGTCGATAATGACGGAGGGACTAGCTGGTTGACGGTTCCGCACCCTTTCGCTAGGTTCGATTGGACACGAGCCGCTCATGAAGAGGATGCGGTCCATTTCGCGGTCAAGTACACGGAAAAAGCCATCGAAAAGAATGGATGGTACTGGTCAGGAATTCGGGAAGATGTGAAATACATCATCCAGAATTGCCCGGCCTGCACGGCGGACAAGGCGCCGGTACAGATGCCTCGAACGATGGTGCCTACTCGTGTAGAGCGCCCCTTTCAGAGGGTTAGCATCGACACGACGGATATCAACGTTCCGAGAGGTCCCGTCGATCAGGGAGAGCTCAATGTTCTTGTAGTGGCTGTCGATCATTTTTCGAAATGGATCGAGGCGTACCTTATGACCAGCCGGAATTCGCAGGAGGTAGCCTGGTACGTAAACCGATTTTTGTGCATGCATCTAGACGTAGAAGAGGTACACATGGACAATGGGTCAGAATTTCAAGGAGAAGTAGAACGTCACCTGGTCAGGGCGGATGTTAAGATTATCTACTCGCCGGGGCATTGGCCTCAAGCCAATGGCCTGGTAGAGAATGCCAACCGACTGATTAAGACCGCTCTTAGACGGAATATCACTGCGGGAGATACCCGGCCCTGGCCTGTCATTGTCGACCACATTTTGGCCGTCTATCAGGCTACCCCACTTGGTAGTACTGGGGTGTCCCCCTTCCAACTGAGAACCAATAGTGTCCCTCGGGTGCAATTGTCCCCCTTGGTAGGTACGAAAGTTAGAGCAACACGGGCCCAGCACAGAGATAAGTCCCGCCACTACATGGACTTAATGGCWAGGGCCTATCCCCCGTTAGCTCGCCGGCGACAGCGGGCCGTAGATCGGACGCATCAACGGCAGATCCGCGATTATGAGAACCGACATGCGTCCACTGGACCACTCCGTCGCTATAAAATTGGGGACTCAGTACAGGTACGGAAATCCGCACGCTCCTCCAAGTTCCACCCGCGCTACACAGACATTTACGAGGTAACGGAAGTTGGCGTACAGGGACAGCACTCCGTGAAGCTGATTCCCCGTCACAACTCCCAGGCCCGACCGCTGACACTGCACGTTGCTGCGCTCCGGCCCTTCCAGCCATCGCTAGGCCCCACACGGACCCCGCTCCTACGAGATCATCCTCTTCTTCTTCGTCTTCCTCCTCTTCCCGATCGGCCTCGTCCATCGGTGTTGAGAGTTTCAGGGAGCAGGATGAACCATCGCCAGCCGGAGCATGAGCCCCTCGAGCATTTCCAGACGCCGCTTGCAGATCGCTTGTTGCAGCATCAGTTCAATGAGGAAAGGCAGTTGCGGTACGACATTCAGCAGGTGAACGTGCCAGCGCCCGGGGTTGCTGATCTGACGGCGTACTCGTTACTTTGTGATCGACTGACGTATGCGGGGTGTACGTGGACGTGACGCAGTTGCCTGGGCGGGAGACGACTCGAGTGTTCATCGAGTTCCGCGCGCTCCAAGTGGCACCCAACTTTGTGCATAGCATCGCCACCTTTATTGGCGACTTGACGATCCTGCCACCGCCGAGTCGGGAGCTGGCGCGAAGTTTTGTGCGCGAGTACGTGGAGCAGGCGGCCAGATCGGTGGCCAGAGTGCAAGGACGGGGGGGACACCGATTCACAACCCACGAAACGCTGCTACGCAGGGCCGAGGACGGACCGATCGCGTTGGTGCCGCAGCTCCCCGCGCTTCTTCCTCCTGCTGTCCCTCTCAACTTTCAAGCTCTTCCCCCTGCCCCGTACTAAATGCCTCCCTTCTTCTCTTACACCACTCTCCCCTATCAACTCACGGAGGGCCCTTATCCTATGCGCAAGTTCTCGGAGTATCTGGTGGAGCTAACTGACGTGGAACCGCTGCCCTTCGCAGACAAAGACATGTGGGAGTTGCATCGTGCGCTGTACAAGTCGGTGGCATTGGGGATGTTCCGATTCTTCATGGATCACAAAGACCACTGCATCGGGGAGCACTTCGTCGTCTACTACGTCATCACACGACCCAAGCCGGCGCAGAAGGAGGGGACGGTGGCGCTTTACCCATTCGCCCAGCTCCAGACAATTGATCCGAGATTGTTGGAGCTCATACATCTTGAGCTCCTCTCCATTGCGCAAGTGATCGCGAGCGAGGAAGAGGAGATCCAGCCACGATTGCGGACGGCGACAGCCCCGCGGAGAACGTACAACGCGGTCGTCATCCCGGATTACATTGCGCAGCGCGCAGAGAGGTTGGAGGGCTTCCCGGAGGAAAAGTCGTTGAGGCCTCCCTCGTCGTATCCCCGACCGGCGCCACCCAAGGCCCCCAAGAAGACGCCGAAGAGGAAGAGACGCCACCCGTCGCCAGGAGCGCAAGGCAGCAGAATCGGTGGCGGCGAGGAGGTGATTCAGCCCGCGGGTACGCGGAATCTTGACCCCGCGCCTGGGAGTGTGGCGACACTCGTTAAGGCGATTGTCGTGCCATCGCCGCCCTTCCCCCGCGTGCCCGATCTCAATCTTGATGGAGTCGGGCCATCAGCAGCAGCAGCAGCCGGAGGAGGAAGCCGAATAGGAATACCGGATCCCATATCCAGACCCCCTGTCCTCGCGGGACCTCTCCGCTTCCGCCAGCCGCCCGGGGGTGCCCCGATCATTGACATTAGCAGTTCCTCCGAGCCGGACGGTCCATCCGACAGAGGTGAATTTCATGGTGGAGCCCACCACCATCAGGCTCGAGGCCATCGCGGGGGCGCCGCGCCCTGATCCGGCGTGGGAGCCATATCTGACACCCCCTTTTCAAGGGTGTATTGCGGCGGGACTGGCTGGGACGCTCATCTACGAGATCGGGCAGCGTCCTAATGTGATGTACCACTTCCTTGTCTTCGCGGCGCAGAAGCGGGAGCGGCGGCCTTACACCGAGACTCGTGCGGTGATAACGTGTCCAGGGCCCCGATCGGTGCGCAAGCGGGTGGTGCGAGTGGTGGCGGATCTGGCGCCACGTGTCCTGTCTCATGTGTCGGGGGCCTTCCTCTATTCCTCGTTCATCCAGCACCACTTCCAGGAGGAAGATGCGTCGACGACTCCCGCGGCAATGGCCGCTTTTCTTCCACCTATTCCGCCCCCTCTCAATCCCGACATCGATCACTTCCTCTGATCACCCTCGTCTACCTCTCCCCGCTTCTCTCCTTCTCCTTCTCTTCATCATCTTCTTCTCCTATGCCCAAAGTTCGCGCGTCGAGACGCGCTGTGT